CGATGGATATTTGTAGTTGTTCGGAATCCACGTTAAGCTGTAGATCCCGGTCTGTGTAGCCCAAAGTGTGCACAAGATGACCGTTGAGCGACAAGCCAAACCTACTGATTTAACTTGCCTGAATCTGGCATTGGCATGAGGATTTTCAGTAGTGCTTTTTGGGTTAGTCGTCCAGTCTCACCAGATCATCTATTATGAAATATTGTAAATGGTAAATAATATCGCTGTTATATATAATTCGTTACATATATACTCCATTATTTTGATGCTGCCTGGTGGCCAAGTAGCTAGCGCTCTGGTCTTGGTATCCCAGGCTTCAGGTTCGAATCCTGGCGGTGGCATGGATGTTTGTGAGTGGTTTGGAATATACTTTAAACTGTAGGTCCCGGTCTGTTTAGCCTAAAGTGTGCACAAGATGACCGTAGAGCAACAAACCAAACCACTATTTTGATCTCTGGTGCTCGGTACCACCGGTTTCGGGTTCGAGTCCCGGCGGTGCCATGGATGTTTGTAGTGGTTCGGAATCCACTTTAAGCCGTAGGTCCCGGTCTACTATAAGAGCGTTACGGAGCAAAAGTCAGACTTCTATTTACGGATGCTCCATCACAACAGAAGCTGCTTCCTTACCCTTCAAACATGGCGTATACTGGTCGTGGGCTTGGTCTGGATTAGATATCTACCAAGCGGGATAAGTAACAACAATAACAAAATTGTTTTGATGATTGTATTTATAAATAATTGTGATTGTAGGGAATCATATTAGCCTGCACGGTTAAGTTTTCTGTACGAAAAAAGGTATAAAAACGAACATTATCTAAAAATAACGAACATTTTCTAAGAATAACGAATATTTTAACCATATTTCTATGAAACTAACACAAATCCAGACGGAAATAATAAAAAAAAAAAAAAAAATTCCTTACGCAGGCATGCCGAGCGAAAATGGTAAGAATAAAATGAAAAAAAATGTCTGCGTAAATATGAAAAATCGATTTATCCGTTTCTAAAATAAGAACTGTTTGGAATAATTGCTTTCATGTATTTAGTTTGTGCTTCCGTGATTTTTTTATATTATTTGTCAAACTTTTTATCTTATTTTTTGTAAGGATCAACGTTCTGAAGACAGTACATAGTATTCGAAACTTTAAAGAAAGGATTTTAAATTTTTATTTCAATTCAACAAATAAAATAATATGAAAAATTTATTGTAAAATTTAAAAATCATTTTTGTGATGTTTGTAAATGTAGTTCAAAGTAATTGATTGTTTTATAAAACTGAAAATTGCCTATAAAAAACAACCACTCATTACATAAAACTCAATAATTATATTTTTATGGAATATTTGCAATAAAATAAATGCAAAGGAAAAACTGATATTTCCTGTTATTTATTTAAAAACAGGGAAAAAAACAACAGAATGTTTTTTTTTTAATGAAAAATTTACCTTAAAATAAGCATGCAGGCGAAAACATGTTTATAACAAATATTCAAAATATTGACATTCAAAAAGAAATTGAACTTTATAAAAAATGGAAATTAATATTTCCTTTTATGTAAAGTTTAGTGGAAAAATAAAAAAAATAGAAATTAATATTTCCATTGGAAATTAAAAATTAAAAACACAAAAAATGGAAATAAAATAAATGGAAATTTAGTATTTCCTTTTATATAAACACTATATGGATACTACATAATTATAAACTATATTCTTTTCAAAATATAATATTTTTTAATCATTTTTAATAAAAAATGCATTTTTTGAAATCACAAGTAGGGATTCATCTATCTCCAAAAATGTAAACCTATATTTATTCCCCTTACATCTTTGCTTTGTTATATGAAACACTTCTAGTGCTATAACTATTACTAATATTTGTTTAATCACTAGGTTATTACTTTACCAAATAATGAACTAATTAACTAACTCCCCTGCACTACAGTCCATCCTGGCTTAGAGTACCACAGGCTCCAGGTTCGAATCCTAGCGGTGGCATGGATGTTTGTGAGTGGTTCAGAATCCACGTTAAACTGCAGATTCCGGTCCAATTAGTGCAAAGTGTGCACAAAATGACCGTAGAGCGACAAACCAAGCCAAGCACTACAGTCCGTGTTGGACTATTGCGTCTGCCTACTGGCGATTCCGAAGCAGGAGATGTTTTTTTTACACGGTAGGGTTATCAGCCATACTCCCAACGGTCATATTAAACCGGGACTTACGGTTTAAAGTGGATTTCGAACCGCTACAAACATCCATGGCACGACCGGGCCTAGAACCCGAAACGCCAGATCGCTAGTCACTCGGCCATCAGGAACCACTTTACCAAATATTTCTAATTATATTATCGAAATTAAATATATAAATATATATATATATATATATAAATATATATTATCGAAAAACAAACACATGTTTTGTTCATTGAACTGGTTTTATATTTATTAACAGCATTTACGATAGTGATAGTAATGAAATTCAATCAATCCCATATACTTCACTTCTAGTGTGTCTATTTGAAAAGAAAAACGACCTAAGATAATTCATGTAGCGAGAATTTTTACTTCATAAAGTCAATTGTTACATTCTTCATAAATTGTCTTTGTGATTTTTAATGTATTTTTCTTTTAAAATTTAACTTTACTTTCATTATTATTAATGGCGCAATAGTCCCACGGTGGGTCAAGACCATCTGCCTACAGGCAGATTTCGAGACAGGGGGCTTTTTCTTTTTACGGGGTAGAGTTGCCATCCCTATGCTCTACAATCATATTATTTTGTGCAAAGTGTGCACAAAATGACCGTAGAGCGACAAACCAAGCCAAGCACTACAGTCCGTGTTGGACTATTGCGTCTGCCTACTGGCGATTCCGAAGCAAAAGATGTCTTTTTTTACAGGGTAGGGTTATCAGCCATACGCCCAACGGTCATATTAAACCGGGACCTATGGTTTAAAGTGGATTCCAAACCGCCACAAACATCCATAACTACGCCGGGACTCGAACCCCTGCCATCGACTGCCAGAGCGCTAGTCACTCGGCCATCAGGCGCCTTAACATTATTTTAATTTTAATAAAATGTTTCTTACAGATCTATTTGATATCAATCATCAATAACATTCTCTATAACAACAGTTTAAGCCGTTCTAGAATTATATATTCCAAACTTAATGCAAAAAAAAATTTCGAGATTTGCATCACATGTTATACTTTATATCTTTTTTTTTAATCTGTCAGAGAATCCGCAAAACAAATAGGAACGAAAGATATATTTTAGTACAGTAAAACTGAAAAATTTAAATTTCACATATAAAATATTGATGTTTCGTTATAGCTAATAGAAACGCTATATTTCATTAGCAATTATTATAAAAATGGACTAAATGATTTATTGAATCAACTTCATATATTTTCGTTATTCAACTTTGCGTTTATATTCTATCAGTCGATGACATCAACGCAAAGTCAATTATTTTTAGCGATAAAATCAATTGTAGGTAATATAATTCATTATGATGTTCTTCATCGAGTATTGAAGTTCTCATCGTAAACGTATATAAATTGTTTGATAGGAAATTAATCAACATTTCTTACCTTGTTATATATCTTCTTCTTCTTCATTGACGCAATAGCCCCATGGTGGGCCAAGGGCGTCCAGTCAGGAGACAGGAGACATTTCGAGACAGCAGTTGTTTTCTTTTTACGGGGTAAAGTTTTCAGCCCTACGCATTACAGTCATATTAGACATGGGTCTACGATTTAAAGTGGATTCTGAACCACTACAAACATCCGTTGCACCACCGGGACTCGAATCCTGTTTCACTTAGTAGAGAGTTTTTGCATACCGTATTTTGGACGTCCGTTAGCTTTTTCTCCCTAGCGCGCATGCTCATAGGAAATTGCGCATGCGTAATCTGTAATAATATTTCCTGTGAGCATGCGCGCTAGGGAGAAAAAGCTAACGGGCGTCCAAAATACGGTATGCAAAAATAGCAATACAGGCCATCAGGCCTCCCCCATATATATATATATATATCTATATATATATATATAGGGCCTATTATATATATATAGGGCCTGATGGCCTATTTAAATATGTATAGATATATATATACATATTTAAATATTAATTATTTTTTTAATATATTTTTGACGTCACGCAATTTAATTTTCACCATTCGCCTTGGTTGTGCCTCATTCCTAATTCCACATTCCTTCCACATTTGCATGCTGAGAAACAGACTTCAGTCGGACAGTCTGACTACAAATACGAAACATTGTCACACTCACATTACTTCTCATTATTTCGGATTGCTTTCATTTTGATATTCAGAATCATTTGTGCCACCATTTCCATGTAAAATTTCTATAAAAAAATGAAAGTTTGCAAAAATTATTTTTCAATACAAGATAGCAACAAGATACAAAACAAGATAGTTTTACATTTTCGTGTAAATTAATAACACTTTTTAAGTTTATTTTAATGACAAAATTTTAAATAATTCTACTAATAATATGATGTATAAGTGTAATCGATTCTACCATTATTATTAACTGTAATAATTTTATTCTATAAATAATAAAATATTCTATAAAACCATAGAAAAATATTATGGAAATTTTTAAAAAGAAAATAAATAAATTAAATTAAATTCTGATAGTATATCATGACTGAAATTGAGAGTTTATATGTTTTTTACATTAATATCGTTTGGATATTCTATGTTGTTGTTGTTTCTTATCCCACTTGGCTGGCCAAGCCCACGAGCCCATATGGACTCATGATTGAAGGGGAAGGAAGCAGCTTCTGTTGTGATGGAGCACCCATAGGTAGAAGCCTGACTTTTGCTCCGTGATCTTACAGTCATAGAAGACCGGGACCTACGGCTTAAAGTGGATTCCGAACGTTTATACAAACATCCATGGCACCGCCTATATTCGAACCCGAAACCTGTGGCACCGAGCGCCAGAGCGCTAAAATCGGCCATTCAGGTCCCAAATGTGCCAACGGCATAGTGTTCCCAGGTGGTCACCCACTGAAGTACTGACCGCGCCCAATGATGCTTAACTTCGGTGATCTAATGGATATTCTATAAATAAATAAATAAATTTAATTTACAATAAGTCTATTATTATTAATTTCAATTATTTTATTCTATTAATAGTAAAACATTCTATGAAAATCATAGAAAAATATTCTGTGATTTTATTTAAAAAAAAAATAAATTAAAAAATTTCTGAGAGTATATCATAATTGAAAATGAGAGTATATAATTTTTTACATTAATATCGTTTGGCTATTCTATTAATAAATATATAAATTTAATGTATAATAAGTTTATCAAGTCTATTATTATTAATTCTAATTATTTTATTCTATTTATAATAAAACATTCTATGAAAACCATAGGAACATATTCTGTAATTATTTTTAAAGAAAATAAATAAACAAAATTTCTGAAAGTATATCATAATTGAACTTGAGAGGTTATGTGTTTTTTACATTAATATCGTTTGAATATTCTATTAATAAATAAATTTAATGTATAATAAATCTATTATTATTAATTCTAATTATTTTATTCTATAAATACTAAAATATTATATAAAATTGTAGAAAAATATTCTGTTATTTTATTTAAAGAAAATAAATAAATTTTAAAAAAATTCTGAGAGAATATCATAATAGAAATTGAGAGTAAATAAGTTTTTACATTAATATCGTTTGGCTATTCTATTAATAAAAATATAACTGTAATGCATAATAAGTTTATCAAGTCTATTATTATTAATTCTAATTATTTTATTCTATAAATACTAAAATATTATATAAAATTGTAGAAAAATATTCTGTTATTTTATTTAAAGAAAATAAATAAATTTTAAAAAAAAAATATCATAATAGAGAGTAAATAAGTTTTTACATTAATATCGTTTGGCTATTCTATTAATAAAAATATAAATTTAATGCATAATAAGTTTATCAAGTCTATTATTATTAATTCTAATTATTTTATTCTATAAATACTAAAATATTATATAAAATTGTAGAAAAATATTCTGTTATTTTATTTAAAGAAAATAAATAAATTTTAAAAAAATTCTGAGAGTAAATAAGTTTTTACATTAATATCGTTTGGCTATTCTATTAATAAAAGTATAAATTTAATGCATAATAAGTTTATCAAGTCTATTATTATTAATTCTAATTATTTTATTCTATAAATACTAAAATATTATATAAAATTGTAGAAAAAATATTCTGTTATTTTATTTAAAGAAAATAAATAAATTTTAAAAAAATTCTGAGAGTAAATAAGTTTTTACATTAATATCGTTTGGCTATTCTATTAATAAAAGTATAAATTTAATGCATAATAAGTTTATCAAGTCTATTATTATTAATTCTAATTATTTTATTCTATAAATACTAAAATATTATATAAAATTGTAGAAAAATATTCTGTTATTTTATTTAAAGAAAATAAATAAATTTTAAAAAAATTCTGAGAGTATATCATAATAGAAATTGAGAGTAAATAAGTTTTTACATTAATATCGTTTGGCTATTCTATTAATAAAAATATAAATGTAATGTATAATAAGTCTATCAAATCTATTATTATTAATTCTAATTATTTTATTCTATAAATACTAAAATATTATATAAAATTGTAGAAAAATATTCTGTTATTTTATTTAAAGAAAATAAATAAATTTTAAAAAAATTCTGAGAGTATATCATAATAGAAATTGAGAGTAAATAAGTTTTTACATTAATATCGTTTGGCTATTCTATTAATAAAAATATAAATGTAATGTATAATAAGTCTATCAAATCTATTATTATTAATTCTAATTATTTTATTCTATTAATAATAAAACAAATTAATATAATATTTTTAAAGAATATTAATAAATTTTAAAGAAATTCTGAGAGTATATCGTCATTGAAATTGAAAGTTTATATGTTTTTTTATATATCGTTTGGATAACGATTATCATAGAATAAATAATATTTTTCTCATAGCTACACAATGAATATATCGTTTGGAATGTTAACGTGAACAAATTATTGTTAGTTTCCTATTTCATTTTCAATTTAACTGGAAGCCTTTCTAAAAAATTGAAAAAAAGCGAGGCAGGTATAATGTTCTCAGGTGTAGCTGTTGAAGGCCGCCGTCGGTATTCATGAATCGATTTATTGGATAAATTTGTAAAATGTACATGCTTTGATCTTTTGCTCTTTTAAAGATGGTTTTTACACGTTTTTGTTGGGGAGTTTATCTGGATGGAAAGGGTGAAATCAGACGGCTGCAGTTAGTTTCTTTTTTAAATAAAGCTGCGGAAAATAGAGCAAGTTACATTTGATTGAACCCGCTTTGGTAAGATTACAAAGACGTTAAGATAATAAATTTCATTTATAAAAATTGTTCAATAAACTTTTGAAGCAATTCTAAGGAAAACCTTGTTTGACAATTATTTGTTTCACGTAATTTTGTTTAAAAATTATATGTTCATCACTATATATTATTTAAAAAATATTTTTATTCATATGTAAAGAGTCATGAATGACTAGTGCTCTGTAGAACAGGTTTTGGTTTGAGTCCCAGCGGTATTTAGCGGTATTTTTATATTTATTAGCGGTCCACGTATGTTTGTAGTGATTAGTGATTCAGAATCGACTTTTAACGTAGGACTAATCGTTTCGTACTGATATAATCGGACCGTTTCGGACTAATATGGCTGTAGAGCAATGGGCGTAGGGCTGACAACCCTACATCGTGAAAAGAAAACATCTCCTGTCTAGAAATGTGCCAGTAGGCTGACGGCCTTGACCCACCCATTATGGCGCTGTTGCGCCAGTAATGCTGATGAAAAAAGTCATAAGTCATGATCTCTCTTTCTCTCTCTCTCTCTCTCTCTCTCTCCTCTTCTATATATATATATATATATATATATATAATTTACTTCCAAATTTCGCCTAAGATATTAGGAATTCTAATACAAAGCATAGATCAACTGAAAAAATTGGATCCCTATTCGTTAAGAAATGACGTTAGAAATTATTCGTTAAGAAATTATTCTTTAACAAATGACGTTTTACGCCAATTTGGCGACTTTTTATGGGTGGCAAATTTTTTATGGTTGAAGTTATTTTTTACGTTGATACGTTTATAGACAGACTGTAGTAAAATCAATGATTTGTTTTTCTTATCCCACGTGGTAGACAGCAACATCTAGACCAAAGTCCATGAATCTGTGGAAGAAAGGGAGGGAGGGTAGCTCTCATGGAAGAAGGGGGAGGGGGCTAGATTCTGTTGTGATGGAGCACCCATTGGTAGAAGTCTTACTTGGCTCCGTGACGCTGGAAAAGGTGGCCTTCCGGGTTGACTTTTTAGAGGGAACTTATCGTATAGGAAAAATCTCGGAAAACTTCCACAAGGTAGTCCGACTCAAGAGGCAACTGAAAATCACAAACGCCATCATCGTTTTTTAAAATAGTGTCTACAATAAAGCGACCAGTGGATTGAACTTCAGTCCTAACGCTCAGCAATGGCGCACGTTGCCACTAAGCTGCGAGCAGGGCAAATAAAGAAATAAGACATTCTAACCTCTGAATTGCAAGCAGCTAAAATTTTGTTTAATAAATAAGAAAAATTTGCAGCATCATTTTACCAATGAAAATGTCCTGCTTTAATTTAGACTCCCATACCACCGAAGTAGTCACTATTTTTGCAGCCCGAAATATATTGCCAATAACTTTATGTTACCGTAGTTCAATTCAAGGAATTCCTCTTTGCCTTGCCTACATGTTGGAACTTGGAATCCATGTGGGTGAGTTTAGGGGGGAGGGGGAGATATAGTATGTGGAAGAAAGAAAGTTTTTATAGAGGTGTTCATGAGAGCTGTAGAAATATTTTTGTAAAAAATATTTTTGAGCTCCAGACTGATTTTCATTGTTAAAATTGCGATGACACCTAAGAAAAGAAAATTATCCAATCATATCAGAATTGACTCTAAACAAAAAATCGCAAGTTGATCCATAGAAAAGGGAGAGATATCAGAAAACCAAAATGAATCTATAAGGTCGAAAATGGCATTGCTAGAGCTGAAGAACGCAAATATGCTGTCCTGAACATGCGTGAATCTAAAGAAAGTTGATTTTCTGAAGCAGTCTAATAACGGGTATGTGCTAGTTGATATATAAAGAGAATAGAATATTATTGAATAATGTATAGCCCCCTTGTAGTTAATGTGATGGCTTCTACAATAAAAGACCCCAGTTCTAAGTTCGGCATCAGATTTGAACCGAATAATAAGTTTTTTCATGTTTAAGTTAGTCATGACTACGATATATCAATAGACTAGAGCAGGGGTCTCCAAACCACTGGCCGCGGGCCAAATCCGGCCCGCCGGAAGATTCTATCCGGCCCGAGGATAGAATTTTAATTTTCCAGTCCGAGGCAAATTAAAAGAAATATAAATTTATACATTATATATCCATCTCCTTTTCTACTTTGAGGAAATATTATTTTTTTTCTTCCTTTTTTCAAAGGACTGATGATCTTTTTACTTTCTCTATTTTTGTTCCACAAAACCTAAATCGACGGAAATAGCAAGCACAGACAGCTTTCAATCGGAAAGGATTTGCAAGTTGAATTAATTGAGTTACGTTCTAACAATCATCTCAAGCAGTTGTTTCTAAATATGCCGAAGTCCGAGTTTTACAAATCAATATCGAAAGTAGGTTTCCCAAATTCAATATCTCACGGCCAGAAAATCAGTGCTGTGTTTGCTTCATCTGATATATGTGAACAAGTGTTTTCAACTATGAAGTGTTAACTTGGAAAGAATTATTTCAGAAGTAGACTGGCAGATGAGCATTTGTGATTCCTTATAGTGAGGTTCTCACTTCGAACCTCACTATAAGGAACTTTTAAAAATGAAATCTCGATTTCATTCTGCTCATTAACATATTTAAATTGTAATACTTGTATATTGTTTTTAAAATATTAGCAAAATTTTCCTTGGCCCACCAAATTTTTTTTTTCAATTTTTGGCCTGCGACCGAAAAAGTTTGG